CAAGTTTCCCAGGCTGGTCTCGAACCCACGGGCTCAGGTAATCCTCTCACCTCGGCCTCCCAAAGTGCTGGGATTATACGCTTGAGCCACTGCACCAGGCCAGGATACATTCCAAAGGTAGGTCAAAAAGGTCATTTTGAAGTTTCTTTCTAATATACCGCCAAACTTGCTACAAAGAAGCTTCCCCAATTATCCTTCACCCAGCCATGACCAGCAGTGAAATGACAGCTATTTCATCACCCTCAGCAAAATCTGCATCTTTTAAAAATGCATGCGGAAGTAGCACCTAACCTAAACTACCTCATAGGTAGGGCTTACGACAAAGAGCTGAATGTTCTCATGACAACTTCAGATCCTTAGTGCAAACATCAGTGACAGGCACTCAGGACTGTAAGTCAGACAGAACGGAGGCCTGAGTGCTGGCCCTGCCGACCCTGTGCTTGCCCGTGGACTTCAGGCTGAAGTCCTCCAACGACAGTTAAGGGGTGGTGTTCTTATTCATCATACAAATGCCAAGAGTAAAGTTAAACAACTTTCCCGGGAGCGACACAGCCAGGCATATCAGCCACATCTAGCTGCCTCTACAGTCCAAAGCTCTGATTCCAAAAACAGACGGCCCACTCCGCCACGAGGTTACGCAACCTGTTACAAAATGAATGACACCTTTTCCCATCCCAGATTCTGAGTAACAGAATCTTTCAGCAAAAGATACAACATCTCATCACAAGGTTCTCAGAACTTGCTCGATGTCGAGTAAGCAGCATTAAGATTACGAAAGTGTTCTGGAAGCCGCACTCCACCCATACAGCACCAATACCACAGATGAGATTTGTCTACAAATGTGGTGGAAAGAGAACCAGAAAGTAGATCGTGAAAGCAGAAGGAATGGAGATATACTTCTTTTTATTTTTTACAGTGATAATTTTGGCTTGCTCATCAGATAAAGGGAAAGGCCCACAGAAGCAGGAGATTAAAAAGTTCACGACATGAGGCTACTGCCAGACCATCACCACCATTGCCTTGCCAGACTGGTGTGGCCACACGCTACTTGAGTATGGCTGTCGGCATGCTTTCTGGCTGTGGGCCCCTCCCCTACCTTGGGGAGGTGAGTCTCGTCTTTTCTCTCTCTAATTTATTTATAAACTATGTTTTCTAATCAAAATATTTAAAAAACCCAAGACATGAAAACACCGCGGACCCGAAAAAGATGGGTGCACGGCTGTGGCTCAGACTCCGGTCAGGTGGCCGACGGCGCGTGTGGGCATCAGCAGGACCGTCCACGCACCTCTTGCCTTTGCGTTCACCAATTTCCCAGGAAAACTTGTACTCGGAGCTTCTCCTAAAAGACCAGGAAACCTGGCACCGACGGGACCGCAGTCTGGCAGCCAACAGCAGCTGTCTGGTTCCCCGCGGCGGACGGCCCTCGGCAGGAGGCCCTTTGGCAGCCGCAGCCGCCCCCTCCCGCCCCGCCTTCTGGACGAGAGGAGCAGGGCAAGGGCAGTCTGGGAGGGGGGCAAGAAGGGCCCCACCTCCCTGCGGAAAGGGGGACGGGCAGCCGGACAGCTGGCGCCCGCTCTGAAGGGTAGCGCCCAGAGGCAGAGCCCCAGTGGCAGAAGCTGTCCCCAGCTCCTGACTTCCAAAGCCACCCCTCCTCTGCATGGCCCCGTTGCACACTTTTAGCAAGAACAACTTTGTCGACCTCAAATAAACCTGAGGCTCTTGTAATAAAATAGTAAAAAGGAGTTGGAAGGCTTTAGCACATTTTCACATTAACTTGCGCTCCAAACAGATAATGAGAAATGCACTACATTCAAAAATCCTACAACAGTAACTTGTTTTATGGTAGTCTACACCATGATCATATGCAGCATTCATACTTATGCAAAAGAACTTCAATCCATTCCTACCACCATATGTAAAAATTAACTCCAGATGAATCACAGCCATGAATGTAAAACCTCAAACTATAAAACTTTCAAAAGAAGAAGAAAATCTTTGTGAAGTTGGGTTAGACAGATTTCTTAGATCTGACCCCAAAACCATAATCCGTAAAAGTACAAAATGGTAAACTGAACCTCATCAAATTTTAAGCGTTTGCTGAGAAAACACTGTTAAAAGAATAAAAAAGCCAGAGTATGAGAAACCATCTGCAAATCATATATCTATTAAAGAACTCTCAAAACTCAACAATAAGCTGGGCTCGGTGGCTCAGCCTGTAATCCTGCGCCTTTGGGAGGCTGAGGTGAGTGGATTGCCTGAGCCCGCGGGTTCGAGACCCACCTGGGCAGCGAGACCTCATCTCTACAATAAATCAAAAAATCAGCCGGGCGTGGTAACACACGCCTGTAATTCCGGCTACTCGGAAGGCTGAGGTGGAAGGATCGCCAGAGCCCAGCAGGTGGAGGCTGTGGTGGCCGGGAGCGGCCACTGCACTCCAGTCTGGGCGACAGAGTGAGTACTCCAACTCAAAAAAACCCAAAAAACTCAACAATAAAACAAACTCAATAACTGACACGCAATAAAAGATGCTCATAAACTCCTTACCAAAAACATACAGAAAGGCAAATCAACACATTAAAAGATGCATGATGGCCGGGCTCGGTGGCTCGGCCTGTCATCCCACACCTTGGGAGGCCGAGGTGAGTGGACGGCCTGAGCCCGCGGGTTCGAGACCTGCCTGGGCA